GAGAGGGATAGGGTAAGTCTACCTCAAAATGATGTAGGATAAAAGATGTGATTTAAACCAAAATGGAGCAGTGAGGACAGATTAAGACAAATGACTTCTGTTTGTTTCTTGGACACCATAGGAGTGAAAGGAGTGGGTTTAGGGAGAGAAGGAAGAATTAGGAATGACATTAAGCAACTGGGAGGCTATTAGTGCCAGTCATAGGAAAAGCAGTTTCAATGGGAAAGATTTCCAGGCTGGTAAGTTCAGTTTGCACGGTTTGGCCATCAGTGAGGAGATGCCCTAGACGTAGTTCAAGTCAACAAATATTCCTTGTCACTAGAATATGTCAAGCCCTATTCTAGATTTTTTAAAAATTATTTTTTGAAGAATTATTATTTAACTTTATTTATTATTATTATTTTCCAGTATGATCAGAGCAAGACAGAGAAAGAGAGGGAAAGTGAGAACACAAGCCACCAGGTCCAGGACTTGAACCACAGTTGCCCATCTGGAAGTCCAGTGCCACTTTAACCACCACATCACCTGCTGGCCCCTATTCTAGATGCTTATGGGTACCTTAGTGAGCAAAACAAAGATCTGTCATCATTGGGCTTACATTCTAGCAAGGGGAAACATACTAAGCATCATAAGCTAGTTATTATTTAGAATGTGATAAATACTAGCATGTTATTATATTAGAATGTGATAAATACTATAGGAAAAAAATGATTAAGGCAGGATAAGGGAATCATCGGTGGACTGCAGGGGGCAAACTGCAATATAAATTATTGTGATCAGGGTAGACCCAAATGAGGTAAGATTTGAACAAAGATATGAAGGAGGTGGCCATAACTGGGAGAAGATATTTCAGGAAAAGCGAACAGCCAGATCAAAAGGCCCTGGGACCAGAAACAGAGAAAGTGGTGAAAGTCGGAGTTAATGGGGGCGAGGGCTAATCATACAGACTTGGAGATCCTTGTTAGGACTTAGGGCTTTGGCTCTGAGTAAAATGGAGACAGTGCACGAGTTGGGGCAGTGAGCTGATCTGACACAGGTTTTAAAATGATCACTGGTTGCTGTGTTTATTTAGAGGGCAGAGGAGTTGTGTAGCCAGTTGTTTCTCGTACTCCTGAGAGACCTAAGACGATACATTTCCACGTTACCCTTGTAAAGGTCTATTAAGTCTTCCAGTCCTTTCTTGGAGCTAGGTGAGATAGCAAACACCTTAGAGAGTGACTGACATGATTCAGAGGGGGGAGAGAGGGAGTGCTCTGCCCTCTGTGATACTGGACCAAAGGAGGGGTGTGTATCTTCGCTAGCCGGGGCGCCGAGACTTCCTGGAGCAGGAGGTGGCGGTGAGGGAGTGTGCTCTGCCCTCTGTGGACCAAAGGAGGGGTGTGTATCTTCGCTAGCCGGGGCGCCGAGACTTCCTGGAGCAGGAGGTGGCGGTGGAAGGCCGCCGAGCTGTGCTGCAAGGATGTACTAGAGGTGACTGTCAGTCGTCTGTTTTCTTGTGGCAATAAAGACATGACAACATGCTGGTGGCATTTTCTTCTCTGGCGCCCATGGATTCCGCGCCCTAGGGCCATGGCCGAAGCGGAACTGATTTAGCCCTCAGAGACAAACAAGGCAGAACACGTGGGCGGCTTACTGACAAAATCGTGGGAATCCTGCCTACGCTGCCCTTCGGACGCCCGGACCCACAGACCCACGCGAGTCCCAGCTCACCTGAGCTCCAAACAACGCTCCCAACGCGAGGCTGGCCGAGGAAAACGAAGGATATCTACAGGGGCACCAATCCGGTTCGCCTGCCTCTTTCACGCCTTCCAATGAGCTTCTAGGGACTGGTTGTCACGCCAGGCTCATCCCACTGTCGGTTGGCCGGCGTCTTCCTGGTGCGAGCGGCCCTGGCCAATCAGCGCCTGTCAGCCCACCCCGCAAGCGGGCGGGTAGAGGCGCGAGAGCCGGAGGCCGGTTGAGGTCTGCGGGAGGAGCGCGGGAGGTGGGCGGGACCACGGCTCCTGGGCCCGCCTCTGCGCCCGCCGGCCGGCGTTGCCTCTTTAGCCCGTTTAGCCTTAGATCTCAGAGGAGTGCCAGCTGTTGCGAGCCGGAGATACCCGACAGGTGCGCGCCTCGGTCACAGCCCAACCTCCAGCATGGAGTTTGTGAAGTGCTTGGGGCATCCGGAGGAGTTCTACAACCTGCTTCGCTTCCGGATAGGAGGCAAGTGGAAGGTGATAAAGAAGGACCAGGTGGGCCGAGCATCCCTGCATCCCCGTTGGGCCGGGAGGCTGCGCGCGCAGCGGCGGGGCCGGGGATCGGGCTAGGGACGCGGCGAGCTGGTTCCTCGCACCTCCGGCGTGGTGGTTCCTTCTGGAAGGCTGGTCTGTCTCTCCCCTCCCGTTCCCTCTCCGACTCCGGTTAACCTAACGTCGAGCCCAGGTGGACCTAGTCTTCTAGACAGGATTTCCCCCACCGCATTGTCTTGGTGTTTTAACTGCTGCTGCGCCTTCAGGCCCTGTTTTCCAGGTAGTTTTGCATTTCATTGTCTCTGTGAGCATTGATGTTTACCTGTGCTGTAGTCGGTGGGTTACGAAACTGAGATGACATGGCAGGAGAGGGCCTGGGAGAAATTTTTGGGTAACAGAATGAAGTGCACAGATAACCATCGCGTGAATACTTCTTCGGGAATGAAATCTCCCCCTTCCAGTTTTCAGTTACATCACGTCTTCCAGACGCGTCCTCCAGCTTCCTGCAGGCAGTCACTCCTGTGCTTGCTGAATTTGTTTCCACGGCACATCCACTCTTTCACGCTCTTGTGAGTTATCTCTGTGTCTGTTGATTAGCTAGATTGTTGACTGCTTGAGGGCCAGGACCTGGTTTTATTTGTGTTTTGTCCCCCTTGCGCTTGTATCCTTTATTAGATAAATGAATGTTTAAGATCGTTATTTCACTAAGAAAGTAAATCTGTGATTATCGAATGGACACATGGAGCTGAATTCGTGGTTTATATCAAAAGCTTTGAAATTTTTTTCTAATGGAAAGATCATAGTCAAAGACTGTACTTTGTTTAAAACATACTCTTAAGGGAACCAGCAGTTAGCGTAATGGCTATGTCGCTGGACTCCCACGTAGTCGACCGTGGTTCACGTCCCAGACCCGGTGGCTTAAAACTCACGCCGGGCGCACTGGAAGAGAAGGGATTGCGGCGTGACCATCCCCTCTGGGGGGTGATTTCTCACTTTCTGTCTCTATGTCTCTCTCTGTCTGGCAAGCGCATGCGCCCTACAGCAAAAAAAAAACCTCTCCAAACAAACTCTTAATTGGCTTCCTTTATTAAACGCTTAATTTTCCATCAGAAAAAAAATGCTCTTTAATAACTCAGAATCCTTTTTATTCTTGAAGGTCCAGCTCCAGTGAGTGCCACCTCTGTTGACCATTCAGCAGACTTTCACTGAACACCATCTCCTATGCTAGATTGTATTGCTTGGAAAGGCACTCCACTGAGATGTCTTTTATTACCTGTGAACCGCCTTCAACTGTTTTTTTTTTTCCCAGCAGCTTCAGCTTATAACAGTCCCATAGTCTTTTGTTTGTGTATTTGTTTTCTATTTCCAAGTGTCTTTCAGATTTGAGATACTATATTTGGTTCTGGATTTTAAGCTGTTTGAAAATAGCAGGGTTTTTATATGATGTATCAAACTTTTCCAACTTTTGCTGGAAAAGTCACGACACGTTTTTGAATAGAAAAACTGAGAAGTACATCATGACTTTTCTGACGACCTGATATCTTTAGTGCCTCACACTTGATAGCTTGTCAATACATATGAAAATGAATTAATGAATGAAGAGTAGGATGTCCCACCCTCAATAAGTTTCTAGTTTTTTAAAATTTAAGCAAATGTAGCAGAAATAATGTCATAAGGAAGTTCAAAGAAGGGACAAAATCACTTTTGGCTGGAATAAAGGAATGCTTAAAGGAAATATAGCTTTAAATCGCTCCTGAGCCTTGCTGTATAAATATTTGTCTTTTGCTTTTTTTTTCTGTTGGGGAGAGTGGTAAGGAGGGAGTAGGGGGATACCCCCAACAAGGTCTCCATGTCACAATCCAATTCCAGTCTTAGCCAGCTTGAATCACAGGCATATGTACACCCTTAGTGTGCTCAGGACCTGGAATGCTCAGGACCTTTCCCATGTGAGTCCAGCTGCATTACTGCTGTGCCACTGCATGTCTCCAAATATTTCTTTAATAGAGATTCTTGATAAGATTTCTTTCTTGGAACTCTTTTGAAATTATTTGCAAATATTTGTTATTCAGATGTGCATTTTGAGGAGAGAATGGCATCTACTATTATCAGACTCTTCCAGGGATCTGTGACCTAAAACAAAGAATCACTGCTTTACAATTCAGTTTCAAGAAACTGAACACCTCCAGTGACAGTTTCCAGACAGTTCTGGAAGAGTTACCGTACTCTATACTGAACTTTCACTCTTTGTTCTACCTCTAGAGTTACAGAAGTCTAATCCTTGTTTTGTAATAGAGCATGTGAAATATTTTATGAGAACTCTCAAATTCTCTTTACGGTTATTGATATGCGACAAGTCAAATATTCAGGGCCTTTCCTTTAGTTATTCAGCATTTGTTACTCTTTCCAGATCATTTATTGGCCTGATCACTCTTTTGTTAAAGTGTAGTATTCCAAAATTACAGTCTTGTGTGTGGTCTAGCCATTTTAGAACTTGAAATTTCTTCTTTCCTTCCTTTCTTTTTAGAGAGATTTTTGCTTAAAGGTTGCATGTGCTTGGCAGAGAGAGAGAAAGAAAGTGAGAAATCATGGGGGGGGAGGATGGTGTGCAGAGTGAGTTTTAAGCCACCAGATCTGAGACTCAAATGGTTGACCATATGAAAGTCCAGCAATGCACCATTACTCCATCTGCTGCTCCCTAAACTTCTTTCTTATGGGAGCCAGCAGTAGTGCTTAAGGCCCCAGACTCCTGCATGGCTGGTTGTGGTCGAGTCCCAGACCCAGTGGCTCGAAAATCATGTCAGGCACTTGTGCGTGCATGCACAAAATTCCAAGAGGAGAATGGAAGAGAAGGAAGGGATTGTGGTGTGGCCATCCTCCCTGGGGGATGATTTCTCCCTTTTCCTCTCTTGGTCTCTGTCTTTTTATCTCTGGTGAATGTATGCGCCCTATGACAAAAACAAAAAAAAAATTCTTATGGATGTTAATGTTTTTAATTGACATAGTTTAAGATTGATTTACCTTAAGAAATGTATTTTTCATTACAAAATATTTCAAACACACAAAAATACTGTAAATAATGTAACAAAGATTAAATATATACTTTAGTAATACTTGCTTCATTTTTTTTCCTTAAAAAATATGTACAAATATAACCAGAGCACTTTTCCTCATCCCAAACATTCCCCACATACACCACCACCACCGTCCCAAATGCCGCCACTGCCACGGCCACCACCACCTCCACTGATACCAGCATTGATTGACTTTCCAGGTAGTCAGTCTTATCACACTGGACTTAGAATTATCTTAGTCTATATCTCCCCAATTGCAGCCATTTAGGACTTACTGTTCCATCATGGTGCCCTGATGCAAAGAATTTAAACCTAAATCTTTACCTTTTAGAGAGTGTCATAATATTAAAGACTAATCTTTATTTTTATTTTTATTTTTTTAGAGAGGTTTTTGCCACAGGGTGCGTGTGCTCGCCAGAGAGAGACAGATAGACAGAAAGTGAGAAATCACCCCTCGGGGGGAATGGCCATGCCACAATCCCTTCTCCTCCATTCTTCTCCCTGGGTCCTGGGCACACATGCACATGTGCCCGGCATGAGTTTAAGCCACCGGGTCTAGGATTTGAACCGTGGTTGACTACATGGGAGTTCAGTGACATAGCCATTAGGCTAACTGCTGGTCCCATGACTAATCTTGATTGAGGTCTTGCTATGCCTAGGCCCTATTTTAAACACCTTACATCTATTATTAATTAAATCCCTGGTAGCCATATGAGAAAGCTACCATTATTTTTCCTAAATCTATTATTTTATAGATGAAGATGCTGAGGCAGAGAGGTTAGTTGATTGCCTGAGTGTTGCAGAGCCAGGTTTTGTCACTTGGAATGTGATCCAGAGCTCATGCCACTGTGCTGCTTACAGTTAAGGTAATAGATCATGAAGACGTCTTTGTGATCTGTCACCTTAACTATAAGCAGTGGATTGTCCAGATACAGCTAAAAGTTGCACACACTTTTGTGTGATGGACATGAAGTGGAAAATGCCTGCCATAAACACATTCACAGTCTAGTGGTGAATAGGTAAGGTAACCTAGGAAATGTTAAGTAACTGTAAGTAAATTTCAGTTTCAATGAAATAGAAATATTCTAGAGGGAGAAGTTTTTTTGGAGGGGTTTCTGCTATAGGGTGCCTGTGCTCGCCAGAAAGACAGAAACAGAAAGTGAGAAATCGCCCTCCTCAGGGCGGATGGTCATGCCACAATCCCTTCTCTTCTATTCTCCTCTTGGGATCTTGGGCACACACGCACATGCACCCAGCGTGAGTTTAAGCCACTGATCCCGGAACTTGAACCACAGCCAGCTCCATGGGAGTTTAGCAACATAGCCATTACACCAACTGCTGGTCCCTGTAGAGGGAGAAGTTTTTAGAAAGTATGGGGAACGTGCTTTTGTAAGGTGTCAGACCTTGAATTGGCATTAGATTTACAGTAGTACGGAGGATATGCAATGGGGAGAAGCTAAAATGAGCCAAATCATATAGGTAGGACTGAGCAGGAATTGTGTGGGGAATGATAAGGAAGCCAGCTGGGCTGAAAGTGAAGGAGTGTTAGATGTAGAAAATTTAGTCAGCAAAAGCTGGGTGGTATTCAAAGAGATTAAAGTCAGAAGCGGGACTATGTCATGATGAAAGCAATGCTTTGGAATTTTCTTCTGACAAAGGAGTGGGAGGAGATTGTATTGGGAGTTAGAGTAGCCAACTTAATACTAGTAATAGTGGTATGTATTGAGTTCTTACTGTTTGGCAGGCATTGTGCTAAAGCTCTTTAAGTCTATTGTCTCAGAGTACCACTTTACTTTTATTGAGTAACAAGTCCCCCTAAAGTATAGTGACTTAATTCTGGAGATTGATTGTATAACAGTGTAAATGTATTTAACAGTACTGAACTGCAGGCTTAAAAATGGCTAAGATGATAAAGTTTTTGTTACATCTTAC